TATATTTTCCCTTAGATAAGAAAGTTTGATAGCGAGTATTTTGTTATCGTTTGGTTATCATAGTAAGCTAATATAAGAAAAAAAAAACGCTGCTATCTTCAACCTTCATATAATTGAAAGGAATATTCTGAAACTTACACCACAGCTTTGGGTGACGGCCAGAGAAGCGTTGGCCAGTGAGAGTCATTTACAAGACCAGGTGGAGAATTTTGGTCTACACATATGAGTATACTCCTGTTACTTCTACACTATATTGTTTTCCCTACCTGATTTATAGCTTTTAAACCTGCACGATACTTATGTTAATTTGATTTGTTTACGAATTCAAGGGACTGGAGTCGAATATAAAAAAATAGTCAAGGAAATATTTCTAGAGATATAAAATCGTAATTGGTGAGGAAGAGACGATAATAATCTCCTTAAAATGCGTAATGGGAGTAACTGAGTGATCGAGAGAGAGTGAAGAGATTAACAAGTTCTTTAAGGGAAACTAAATGAGGCAAAGTTCCAGCAGCGCCAGAACTCATGCTAGGAGGAGGAACTTCTTTCAGGGCACAGATGAATGTACCCGGTGATAGTGGTGGTGATAGTAGTGGTGGTGATAGTAGAGGTGGTGATGGTGGTAGTAGTGGTGGTGGTGGTAGTAGTGGTGGTGGTTCATTTTATATCGTGTATTTTTTCAACGAATAATATTGATAGTAATCCTTGTCACCTCTTACAGTGTGTGTGTGTGTGTGTGTGTGTGTGTGTGTGTGTGTGTGTGTGTTTGCGTGCGTGTGCGTGTGTGTGTTTTATCGTCCTGTATATACTGTACTTGTTTATTTATATGTAATACCTGACCATGCTAAATTTCCTTCAGCTAATAATATAATTTCTCTGGTCTACAGTGCCGGCGCGAGAAGTGTGGGCACTGGCTGGTGACGACGCCCTCCTCCCGTGTGACCTGAGTGTGAGAGACCCGAAGGACTCAGTGCAGATGGTGATGTGGCTGAGGGAAGGCACTCACACACCTCTCTTCAGGTAGGTGTCCGTGGTAGGGATTACCTTTAGCACTTTTATCCTTCTTTATGTCATCACGTGTCAAAGCTAATGTCCACAGGTTCGATATCCCGATTAGTGTGGAGGATGGGGGGTTCCCTTCTTGTACATTAACCTTGGTGCACTGAGGCTGGTGTAACAACCCTTTTGTGTACTGTTATCCTGCCAAGGTGGTGGACTGACAAACTCTCTGTTGTTTATACTAAAGATACAGATCAGCCCCTTGAATTATTACACACACACACACACACACACACACACACACACACACACACACACACACACACACACAAAATTACTTTTACGTTCCACCTGAGAGGAATTGAAGTCCGCTAATAAACCTCACCGATTGCATTACCGACCTATCCTCCTGCATAGTATCCAGTGAACAGGTTAGGAGGGTCATACCAGAATACCTTAGAACGGTTATAGGAATAAACGACCCAACTTTTAGATAAGCAGCCACTCAATGTTAGATCATCACACCCTAACTAGCTAAGACCAGCGGCTCAAAGGACAACAAACAAACCCACTGGGACAAGTTCATCGTGGAGGAGATTGCCTGAGAGACGAAGGAGTGGGCGGCAAATGACCTAGAGAGGGCTAGTGTGAAGGTGGTGAGTGCCTCTCTTGGTGGGAACTTCCTACTCGGCACCCCAAACTCCGCCTTTGGCACTCGTCTTGATCCCCCGTTCCCTCCACTCCCCCACGTGCTGGAATAGCCTTTAGTCTTACTGGTCCCATCTACACTGTTTACAAGGGTATCCGCGACGACGAATGAACAGAATAAATATCTCGGTTTCTTTCGCACTATTTATAATTACGTGTTTTTTTTGTGTTTGTGGTTTTTAGATAGTCTCTCCATCTCCCTTTTCATTTCTCTATCTTATCATTATCATATTTTCACTATCATTTCAATTCTTTATTTCACATCCACCTTTCTTTGCTTTTTGTTTTTTCATCTTTCTCATTTCCTGTAATTTTTTTTAGAATCTTCCGTTTAACCTTTGTCAATATATTTTTTTATTTAATCACATTTTACATTGTTTTTTTTTCATTTACAGATAATATTTGTATGCACTTTCGTTACTCCCTGATGACCCTGGCTGTACTTTCATCTCACCATCCTCATTTGGGACTCTCTAATCACGCCCATATTTCACCCATTCCTCTCCAACTCTTCCCTCATAAATATGTATTCTGTGTGTAACTGAATCAAAGCATTACTGGTGTCATAAAACGTAGAATATTTTCGTTCATTGTGTAACCTTCCGTGATACTGAACAAAAAATACAACTTTCTTTCCTTGAATTTAATACATCTATCCAGTTAAAACTTTGAAATTACCAAATTAGGTCGTATTAGATTGAGAATTTGTTCCCTCACTTCACAATGAGAACGATAGGAAGGTAACTTTAGGGTCACGGGTAATATATTGGCTCGAGCGGAAGACTGAAATAGGTTTTAGGGAGAGGAACTGAGAGGGTAGTAGGTGGTGGGGTGTTGTTACTCTGATGACTTTGATTATGAACATATTTTTGGTTTAAGTGACCTTGTTTTTTTATTGTTTCATCTTATTATTATTATTATTATTATTATTATTATTATTATTATTATTATTATTATTATTATTTCTTCGTCTTTTTCAGTTTCTTTAATATTTTATCATTCTTTTCTCTTTCATATTATTGTTCAAATATAATTAATTTCCTACTGGTTTTATCATTGTTGTTACTTACCATCATCATCATCATCCTCATCATCATCATCATCATGAATTCTTAAACATAAACAACTACATGAATTAAAAATAAACCTTAAAATATTATAAAGTCTAAACATGATTTTTTTTTGTTTAGTAGAACCAAAAAAATAAACACGAAGGGGGAGTAAAGTGAACACATAAGGCGTCCATATCAGCGTGTAGAAGGGCACATAACTAGGTGCTTTACGGCCACCCTCACGGTCACCACAGCATCACACCTCACCACAGCATCACAGCTCACCACAGCATCACAGCTCATCACAGCTCACCACAGCATCACAGCTCACCACAGCTCACCACAGTTCACCACAACACCACAGTTCACCACAGAATCGACACTAAACAGTTCCTCCTCACCGTCTGGGCTGTGGTGACATGAAACAATACGATCCTGGTTTTCTATGTTAATTAAAAAACACAATTACTATGGTTGTCAAATTCTCATAAGTTAGTTATTGCCTTTAATTAATGATAAAATATTTTACTATGGTTCTTAGAGCTTCCTTAATTACATTTCATTTTCGTAATGGAGTAAGGTAACTCATCAAGGTGTCTGAGGATCGCAGTGGTTGTGTAGATGTTGCTCCTGTAAAGACCTTCATGACCTAAACTTAAGTAAGACAAGGCACACACACTCTTCAATGTCAAAATTAACAACAAAATAACACACGTGGGAATCTCTCAGATTTTTTCATGCCGGTGTGTGTGTGTGTGTGTGTGTGTGTGTGTGTGTGTGTGTGTGTGTGTGTGTGTGTCGCTCTTCCTGCAGTAAGAGAAGCGTGGTGGTGAACACATGGCACCCTCAGTGTCTACTCAGAACCCTGTATGAGGTCTAATGGGGATGGCTTTTGTACTCTGGTTGGGTTGTGTGGTGCGTGAGTACAGCCTTAATGTTCCTCTGCTGCTCAGATGTTATGAATGTGGAGTGTGGGGGGCTAAGGTGGTGGGGGCTCACGTGTTGCTTCTATACTGTGATATTTTGGGTACTAATGGGATGGTGATTGTGTCTTTGTTCCCACTAAACTATTCCAGCGTGTTACTAATGTTCCTTTTCTTTTTACTTGTTTGTTTTGTATAAGTAATGCTTGGGATCTTAATGTTTTTTTTTTATTTATTCGTCAAAAATATGTTCCTTGTAAATAAACCAAATGCCTCAAAAATAGCTGCTGAGACATTCCAGATTTTGGGTATTATAAGAAATGTCAACAAAGGGTGAACGAGTTTAAGTGCGTAAGGCTAGAGCTGAGGCGTGGAGTTATATAAGGAAATAAACCAAGAGAACAAATAGAAATAACAGTAAAAAATAAATGTGTGTATTGTAGAAAGAAAGAGAGAGAGAGAAAAAGGAGAGTTAATCATTTTGGCTTAAAGGAGAATGAAAAATTGAAAACATAAAATAAATAAATAACAAAAGACGAATAGGCAAGACAGTGTTAAAGTAAGTTAATGAACAATGTGACCTCGAGTGTGAATGAAATCAATGAACACACGTTAAGAGAGAAAGAATGATTGAATAGATGACTGGTGTGCATTATTACCCCCTGACAGCTTGATGATTACAAAATGATTCACAATATACAAAACTCCCTCATATAAAGAGAAGGTTATAGATAATAAGCGTTATTATAGGTTAAGAGGAGATAGAGATTATAGAAAAGCAACGTGAGAAATAATACCAATATTTTAGAGAATTTACGAAATTGTTGATGTGACGTTTTTTTTTTACCAAGAAAGCGACGTATGTTACAATCCTTCTGGGTGAGGTTAAAAATTAAACTGGTATTGCTTCATAGACGTTCTGTGTCGCTGTGGGCGCTAGAATATTCATGGGTGGAATAGTCAGTGGGACGAAAGCTAGAGTAGATGGCAAGAGGAGCAGTTTTGTATCGCTAGGGAGATCGTGTGTGTGTAAATATTAAATGAGTCAATTGTTCCTCGAAGATGGAATTGTTCAAGTGGATGATTGAGATAAAATAACTAATGTCAAGTTATTCACTGGATAGATTGGTGAAGATATTTTAATATTTAGAAAATATATCTTTGTGTAATTTGTATCTTAGATAACAGACATACAATAGATAGTTAAAGCCCTAAATAACAATAATAATCTCTGTTATCTACTAGGAGTCATACAGTACTTGGTGAATAGTGTACTAAGACAACGTATTTAGCGCCACCTGTAACTCCTTCACTGTTTATTCACCGTCAATGCCTGAATGCAACAGCGAGCTCCACACTAACGCAGTATCAACAGTACACACCAGGGGGCTAGACTACTCTAAGGCCAGTGTTTATACGAATGGTTTAACTCCTTTCGCCGACTCGTAAATCGTTCCCTGTGGAAATTACACACAGAGAAACACACAAACACACACACACACTCACACACACTCTATGAACCAAGATAAGAAATTAAAACACACACTTTGGTACGCCGGTTTCCAAAAAGTAGCCTGATGAAAAGCAGCTGTGTCAGGAGGATGGAAAATGGACGATGGAAGCTAATGACTCTGCACTGGATAAAGAACACACTGGTCTTGTGGCCTTGTCAGAAAAATAAGCCTTTGATTTTGCTGGACTATAACTGACGCTGGGCAGGAGTGTGTTGGAGTGGTGAGAGAGAGAGAGAGAGAGAGAGAGAGAGAGAGAGAGAGATGATGATGGTGGTGGAAGGGATATGTATACACTTTCCTCTTACTCTCTAATCACCTATATTCATTATACATCGCCCATCATCAACACATACATCTATTTATCATGTATATACACATCCATGAATATTTCTATCACAAACACAAACATCTATGTATTATATAGAGCACCCATGTATATTATCTACTACCCACAACAAACACTCTTGAACAGCGCTCCTATCACCAAATTCCATGTATACTAGCGAGGTATACATCTCCCACTGCCATCAACACCCATGTATGGATCTAACCACCACAATCTCTCTCTCTCTCTCTCTCTCACATCAGGTGCATAAGTGGTGGGTGAGGTAGGACAAGGAGTTGCAGGTGGGTGTGGTTGGTTAAAGTAGACAGAGGTACAGATAGTGTGTGTAGTATATAAGAGTATAGAGGTTAATTAGGTAGATGAGAGGTAAGCCAGGTGAGAGAGAGGTAAGCTAGGTGAGAGAGAGGTAAGTCAGGTGAGAGAGAGGTAGATCAGGTGAGAGAGGTAAGCAGAGAGGTAAGCCAGGTGAGAGAGAGGTAAGCTAGGTGAGAGAGAGGTAAGTCAGGTGAGAGAGAGGTAATCCAGGTAGAAAGTTGGAAGAGCGAATTAACAGGTATTAATATATATCAGTCAGTTAAAATGTTTCCTCCGTCAGTGAATGGATGAGTCAGTTGGTCATTTGGTGATGTTGATAAACGGAGAAAATTTCACTGACTCAGGAATTCTTAGGAAGTTAGTAGACGTCATTGATGATGTTTATGAAGTATTAAATTGGTCCATCCGAAAGTGTAAGGCTGTCCACGATGAAAGATTATAAGTTCACACACACACACACACACACACACACACACACACACACACACACACACACACACACACACACACACACACACACACACATATATATATACACTCACTGACTCATACAGATAAACACACCTACATACAAAAAGACACACACACACACATACACCCAGACATACACAAAGACATACATGCAGACATACACAGCTACATGCACAGAAACAAACATATTCACAGACACACTTATTCATAGTACATTCATCTCACATTTTTTTTACATTTTTATCATTTTATTTTTTATTATTATTCATTCTTCCCCTTTTTATCTTTTACTAATTTGTACTATATATTTTTTTCCTCTACCTTTCCCTACTGTTATTGTCATTTGGTGTTGTGTTTCCTCCTGTAGGTGAGAGAAGGTCAACCTGTTTGTAAGATGTTTTTCCTTTCCTCCAGGTCAAAGGTCAAACTAAACAGCAGAGTATATGAGGGATGGATCAATGACTCTTATAAAGAAGATGTGGTATATACAATTTCAGAAAGCAAAATAATAATAATAATAATAATAATAATAATAATAATAATAATAATAATAATAATAATAATAATAATAATAATAATAATAATAATAATAATAATAATAATAATACCCTTCATATAACACAACCTGGATGTAACGTTAGAGAATACAGTCTTTATAACAACACTGTAACTTTATAAGGGGGTATTACAGGTTATACCCCTCACCTTGTGGCCCAGTTAGTGTCATAAAAATGTGGCGTTAAGGTGAATTTCCTGTTTCTAGAAATAAGTGTGTCGTGGAATGATCATACATCCTCCCGTGATGTTGACTATCGCTCCCTATGACGGCGGGTAATATGTTAACACTCACGCAGGCTTCTGACCCCTTGGGTATAGTGTGGCTGACGGTGGAGAAAAAAAGGGGTGGAGTGGCAGTGCTGAATACCTGAGTGGGTGAAGAAGTAGTGGTAGGAGGGGGAGGTGGTGGGGGGAGGTAGTGGTGACTGGCTGGAAAACTTATGAAATCTTGTTAGTGGTGGGTGGGTGAGGGTGGTGGAGGGGGGTAGGAGGGGTTGTAGTGGCGGAGGGGAGTGGGAGGGGAGGGAGGGCAGGTACAGGTGAAGAATGGCAAGGTAAGAGGAGGGTCGTGGTTGAAAGAGGATTGTGGTCTGGTGTAGTGAAGATAAGTGCGTTTATTGGAAGGTTTGTTGACCTGTAAGTGTGTCGACGAGTGAGTTCTTTGTTGTGTAAGTGCATCAGGAGGCTGGAGGGATGGCAAAACTACATTTAACTTTGCTGAGTGTGATGATATCTGCCAGAACTATTTATATCATTGTAAAGGAAACACACTGGGAGTTGAGAGTCATTCAGGTAACCAGAGTTTAGGAGAATGGCGGTTCAATCACCATTTACCAATACCTTAAAACCAATCAGATATTAATGGAATATATATCAAATCATGGAAATACATTTATATGTTGTAAGTTAATGGCTTCCCCCGTGGCCTGATGGGTCCCCCTTAGTCCCCGGCTCAAGCATGTCAGAGTGATCGACACCAAACATACAATACTCAATAGCGCTCTGACAGGCACCATATTGAACCAGAGCACGAAGGTTGTGTATGCAAAGCCTTACCACTGTACCTGGTCCTGATCTGTGTTCACCTTGTTGGCACTGGTTTCAATTTCGCTATGGAAGAGAATCAGTTTTAGAATCTATGTCAATTACATTTCAATTGACAGTATTTGTTTTTTATACATATATATTAATTTTCAAGTGGCTTTAAAATATATAAGAGATGTATCTTTTATGGACTGTATATAAGGATGGAATACACCTAAACACATCTCACACTGCCCTCACTAGACATGAAGGGAAACAAGTATAGAATTATCTCTTATACAAAGTACTAACATATACAGGTGTGTTAATCTCTCCTTCACGTAAATTACCTCTGGACAAGTGGTTTAGGTCTATTTTACAACACCCAGTTCACGGAAGAGAGGAGATAAAAGGCAAAAATCACAACAAATGGAATCGAAAATTAAAAAAAAAATATCAGTGAACCTTACTGGCATATGTGAATTAATTGGATTTGTTTTGTAAATAGTTACGAATCAGTCTTTATCGTTCATTGAATTCCTTTTATGTTTAGGGATATTAATTGTCCAGAATCCATGATATATTGTGGTTGAATATATTATAAACGCAAATATAATCTTTTTATTATTGCGAATTTACCCTCAGCATATAATTAACGATAATCCATAATCCACGTGTGGTACACTTTATGGTAACATGGAAATTGAAAAAATCACCCCCTCCCCTCTCTCTCTCTCTCTTTGTACTCGTATGTATCTATCCTCTTTACAGTTCCTTTCTTTTCTTTCACTTCTCTCTCTATTTTCAGCTTTACATCCCCCTCTCCCCTCTCTTTTATCCACTTACTAATCCCTAATCCATCTTTCCTCTACAGCGTGGACTACCGGGAACGTACAGGTGACGACCCACAGACCTGGCGTGACAACTCGGCGTCCACAGCACAACGAGCCCACATGCACGTGAACGGCGTCGACTTGGGTCTCATCAACAGCATCGACTTCGCAGAACAAAGTTACGGTGGACGAGTGACAGATTTCGGATACGGAGAAAGCATGAGTACCTCTCACCTCTCAGGGAGTCTCAGTTCCCGAGTCTTTGGCAATAGAATCGAGGATATTGATTCACAGGAGAGTGCTACCCTAGACAGTCCGTTGGAAGAGGAGAATATCGGTCTAGTGGTTAAAGATGTGGAGTTGAACGACACCGCCGTCTACCGCTGCCGAGTAGACTTCTTGCTGTCACCGACACGTAACAGTCGCGTCAATTTCACTGTAGTAGGTGAGTGTCCTAGGTTCTCGTGTGTGTGTGTGTGTGTGTGTGTGTCTGCTTCGCGCGGTCAGAATTCACGATAAAATGGACATTATATAAACTATTTCATCTCGTCCTTAAGGAATTGTCGAATGTTGTCACAAAATCAGTTGGTATTGGATTTTATCTCAAGAGAGTGTTCAGCTGGACGTAAGGTATTAGATGCTCTTGTGGGAAATCTTACGACTCCATGACGTCCTTGTCCAAATTATCGAAGTGAAATTGATCTCGTATTAGACCCTGGCACAGCTCTCAGGTGTTTTATGAAGATATCTGATATTGTTCCTGTTATCGCTGATGTGAGGTAACGCTGTGTTTTGATTTATCACCGCCTATATAGATCAGGTGTTAGGTGATGAATCATAGTCGTAATGGGACAAGAATTCGGGGGTTTTAAGGTTTTACAGTTTAATGTTGATATAATGGTTTATCAGTAGTAGTTTAGTCTCCTAATGCTCACACAAGTTATGCTGAAGGAGTATCTCTTAAGGCTATTCTTCTCATGACACTAAACCAGATGTAAACATTAGGAGATTTAATATATACCGTTTACACAGTCTTCCCTCACAACGGTCGGGGCCATTGTGGTACTGAGAAGGTTCACCTGTCTTGGTTGTCTGGCCAATAACAAAGAGACATTGACGAGTTGGTCCGTCTTATGATACAGTGAACTTACTCAAAATATTTGGTAGCGCCAGAATACATTGTAGGAGAAGGTTCGCTCTTTAATGACGGTCGTGAATTTATTTTTTCTTACTGAAGATAAAAACATTGACAGTGAAATTAACTCAATAAGATAAATTTTCCATTAAGTTCTAAACGTCTACACATAGTCAGAATATATCAATGGAATTACTAATGTGTGACGTGTTTGCCAACTCAGTTACAATCTCCAAATACTTTAGTAGGATTCGTGGTTCCCAGATTCGGCGGAGGAATGAGCTATTTCGACCAACACTCGAAATGTTAAGAGCTCTGGTTAGACACTCTGAATCCTACGAGCGAGAGTTTCACCGTGAAGCCATGGCTGACATTCTCATACTTAACCGTTAATATATATTTTTTTATTATTATTATATTTATTCTTAGTAAAAGTGTAAAAGTCTATATTTGAGCCTAATATTAATCGCTTTAAAATTATTATTTCTTCAAGTTAAATCTCTATGATTCTTAAGGTGCTTTCTCTGTGTCTCGGACAGTGCCGCCGCTACATGTTGGTGTGAGGTGGTGGATGGGTGACAGAGGAGACTCCGTCATCAACAACGAGGCTGGACCCTTCCGTGAAGGGGATTCACCAACGCTCATCTGCTTCACCCGCGACGGTGAGTGAGAAAGTCTACGGTGATTGCTACCCACGTTTCACTAACTCCTGGATCAACGCCACTTGTGAATTACTGTGGCATGTATACTTGTAAATACTTCTGGCAAAATTACCAGACTTCTCTCGGGTTAGGTGTATACCGTTTAGTTTCACAATAATGTTATATCTCCTCCACTATCTAGATATTAACACTTTGCCACACGTGTTAAAGGGAGGATCAGATTTACTGAGCTAATTTTCTTGGAAAGCCTTTTTGGCTATTGTGAGTTTTCACGATACGTAAAAAAGTGCTTAACTTTTTTAGACTTCACTTGCCTAACTACCATTCAATTAACTCATAATGAAGGCTAATTGTTGGCTTTAGTCCTTGAGATAGTTTAATCTCTTGTTAACTATGTAATACCATCTTAATAAATGATCTTCTATCACGAATACCATTTTCATCCTCTTTATAAACCTTTACGGGAATACACAAAATCCTTTCTCCATTATCAAGGTTCTATGTCTCTTCCATAATATAATTCCTATACTGGGAATAATAATCTACTTCTTCTAATAGCTTCCCCCATCCTAACGTTAAAATGACCATAATATACACCATGTTATATTAATTAATTCTAACTCTTTTCACGACACTTTTATAACAAATTCCAATTCCATAATAATATACAAAGGGTTTTACGCGTGTTTAGATTAATGATTTACTGATGATGTGGAAGTGTTGGTTATAATAGTAATAATCTTTAATGATAAAATGTTATGTAAATTAATGTGATATTTTTCCATTAATCTCTATATCTAAAAATTAGTTTACCTAAGGCTTTATATTACATATCCATTCGCATATACATAAGAAATTTCCTATATGCTACTTCGTCTATATAAGGCAACTCCTATATACTATTTCAACTATATAGGGCAATTCCTATACACTAATTAGTCTATCTTAGGCCTTCATTGTATACTAAACAGTTACTATAATTATACACTAACATTCCTTTGTACAGTGACCTAACATAAACCCTCATTATTCACCTGGTATTAAATCTCCTTATCTTCATCCTAAACTCACACACACTCGTCTACTTAATCTCTCTGTAAGGTGCTGTGTGTGTGTGTAACCCTGGCTTAGATTGTATCACGCCTCCACATGTAAGAGACACATAAACCATCCTTGGTAAACACAGGCTCCTCGCTTTGTTGATGATAGCACGACGTTCTCTCCACCACTCCCTCCCCTCCCCCTCTCTCTCTCTCTAAAGTCTATGCTCTTCCTTCATTATCTGGGTCCGTGATGTTGTAGCTTATTATTAGTTGAGGTTTTGGTATAGCTTCTTCATCATCATCATCATCATTATCCATTCTCAGTAATATCTGTATTAATTCCTGTCACAAATTCATTATGCTTCTACACTCATGAGTAATCAAAGTGGTGTTGAGTGAAGAGAGAGAGAGAGAGATCGTCCCTATGTTCAGCCATCAAGCTAAACTTATATCTTTTCTTGCTCATATCAATAAACACACATTAAAATCCATCTTTTCTTCACTATTTGCTACCTATTCATATACCTATTCATATACTTATTCATACTTATACATATTCCTCTATACATTCAGGTCACTTCTTTCATACAACACCCACATGCAACACCCACATACAACACCCAAATACAACACCCACATACGACACCCACCAAGATAGATCCTGGTCGTTAATATCACCTTAATTGGCTTCCTCTGTCAGGTACCTGTAAGATGATATTATTATTATTACCTGACTTTCCGAGGGGTCTGTAAATCAACCTCTTGTATGCTTTAATTATCTAAACTTTTACATATTATAAATTAACCCTTAAGTTTAGTGAAGGAACTTTCAAATCACCGAAAAAAAATCCCTATTCTGATAAAACCGTCAAAAATATCCCTCATTTTAGACTAATTTCTCCCCTAGTCTACAAAAAATCGTCCAAAATTACCCTATATTAAAAAAAAAATATCCCTATTATATCCGATGATGCTTCAACAAAATCCCCCTAAATTATTCCCTAGTTATGTAAATTCGTCTAAAATATGCTAATAAAATTTCTAGAAAGTTCCTAGTATAGTTTTATGTAAATCGAAAAATTACCTTCAGTGTATATCAGAATCTTTCCCAATGTCAGTGTATGAGGGTCCTGTTCAATATCCTCAGGCTATCGTAATCCCTGCTGTAATCTAGTAGGACTCTGTAATCCTTCTACCAGTGGGAGGCGTAATCCACCACAATGTACACCAATCAGGGAGAATACTCTGTGATGATGATGATGGTGGTGATGGTAGTGATGGTGGTGATGATGTTAATGGTGATAGTGGTAGATGGTGGTGGGTGGTTGTGGGTGATGATTATAATGATGATGATGATGATGATGATGATGGTAGTGGTGGTGGTGGTGGTAGTGATGGTGGTGATGATGTTAATGGTGATAGTGGTAGATGGTGGTAGATGGTGGTGGGTGGTTGTTGGTGATGATTATAATGATGATGATGATGATTGATGATGATTTCAAAGTAATTATCAATCATTTATGAATATTCACAGATTTCTCTATAGTTTTACATATATTTTATTATCTATCCAGTTTAATAGTTTGCTTCATATTTCCTCTGGACTCACTCTCCTACATTTCAAAAGGTTATATCTAAACTAATTATGTTACACAACTCAATGTCACATAATAACACATATTTTTAAACATCAGAAAAAATTCAGTTTTAGTAATAAATTAAGTAAAGCTAAATAATTTTCACTACAATTATGATAATCCTATTACCTTGTTGCCACACACACACACACACACACACACACACACACACACACACACACACACACACACACACACACACACACACACACACAGTCTTTCTATTTAAGTTTCTGTATCATTATTCACCACCTCTCACCACCCATTTTCTGAAGTTAACCCTTGATTGTTGTTTCTATCCCTCCTCCTCTCCGTTCATTAGTGTTTCATGGTGTTTCCTTCTCTCTCTCTCTCTCTTTCTCTCTCTCTCTCTCTCTCACACAACATTGCATCTCTTACACTCTGGCTTCCTCATCCTGTTAGTGTGTAGTGTAAATCAAACCCTCCCCCACTCCATACCTCCCACAGTCTTCCTTCCTGCCCTTAGTGATGCAGCTCTCACCCTCCCTCCTCCCTCCCCCTCCTCCCTCCCTCCCTCCCTCCTGTCCAATTCTTGTCTGTCTCTTTCCACAGTCTGGGTATATACCTGGCTGATGTGGTAGTCTCCTTCTCTTTCACTCCTTCCTTCCTTCCTTCCTTCCTTTCTTTCGTCTCTCTCCACGTCTCTTCTCTCCTCAATCCCCCTACCTTCTCTTCCCCACTCACAACGTCTTCCTGGGTAATGTAATTCTTTGCTTTATTCTCTCTATTATCCTCTCATTCTCTCCCTCCTTCTATCCCTCCTTCACCTCCTTCCTTAAACCCTCCTTCTCCTACGTTCTCCATTTTATCTCTTCCTACAGCTTGGCCTCCTCCCCGAGTGGTGTGGTTTGAGGAGGACGTGTTGGTGGATGACACGTATACCATGGACCCGACTAATGAAGCCGTGGAGAATACCTTGTTACTGAAGCACCTGACGAGAACCCATCACCATCGCCGCTTCACCTGTGTCGCTGCTAACTCCAACCTTACGAAACCCATTGCTGCCACCGTCCACATACAGATGGCATGTGAGTGATGATTGGTGATGATATTTACGTATGTGTTTAGTGTAATGGGTGGATGTAGAGAGAGAGAGAGAGAGAGAGAGAGAGAGAGAGAGAGAGAGAGAGAGAGAGAGAGAGAGAGAGAGAGAACAGTTTCCAGTAGGGCAGATGATTACAGCAGCAGCGGTTTCCTCTTTAACGTACATTGACTCACTGTCTTCAGGGAGGTGATGTGTTGGTGTCCTTTAATAATAGTCATAAGAGTTAAATTGATACGTATTATAACTCTTGGAATTAGTATTGCGTGTGGGTAGTGTAGCGTGTGTGTGTTCAAGCTTAGTGAGACAGACTGACAGACAGACATACAGACAGATAGACAGAGAGACCGTAACACTGACTAATATGTACCTTATATAGTCAGGAGTTAAGGTAGATATTTTTGTTTTGAGAGGAAGTTATAATGTCATCAGTATCAGCTCTCTATTGAAGCAGTTCTCTATACCAGCATAACCCCCCATCTCCTCCAATGATAATTCAACCTATATAACTCAAATATACAGGTGGTGGTTAGGTTTGGTTAGGTTAGGTTAGGTTAGGTTAGGTTAGGTTAGGTTAGGTTTGGTTAGGTTAGGTTTGGTTAGGTTAGGTTAGGTTAGGTTTGGTTAGGTTTTTTTATTCATTAATTCACTTTTTCTTATCTTATCTAATTTATCAAGTTTTTTTATTGATATTGGAGTTTAAAGATAAATAATTTTCATCTATTTACTTATAACACCAATAACAGTTAAATCATTATCTGACATTACAAGATACTAACAGCGTAAAGCCGACAAAGTTATGGTAGTCAACGTGTTGATATAATTCTATACCGTAATGGATTAAAACCGTGATATACAGACCTGTACTAAACAGATATTTTCTGTCATAAAAAAAAAAGTCCTATGACAGATGATTACGACTCTAATAACAGTAGGAAAACTTCATTACGTTACAACACAACAGAACTCAAAGGTGGCTCTCTATAATGAGGAAACAACTGGCCTTTTAAATTACATCTCTCGGTAGAAAGATTGACCTTTATAACACAACATTTGGTGAGGAAGTACGGTGGGTACACGTGTGCTCGCGTGCCAAGACATATATGAGTAAATGTTGCGATTGTTGCTTGTGAGCGTTTTATGCTTGCAGTGTAGCAGACGTTGACCTCTCTCTCTCTCTCTCTCTCTCTCTCTCTCTCTCTCTCTCTCTCTGTCATTGTAAAAGATAAAGGGAGGAATATTCTGATGTTTTCGTCGGGTTTTTTTTTCGACACAATTTATCGTTTAGATCTTAATTCACAGTAAACGATAAGCTCATAGGGGTGAATAGATATTTTTTATTATATATTTGTTATTGATTTACCATTAGCTTGTGATTTATAATTCTCGTTATGGTTGTCATTCACGCAGTATGGCTGAAGTACTGCTCCTGGGCACAAATATAAAATACAAAATTACAGTTGACAATAGTGATTAACGTTACTCATATACCCAACCTGTCGGGAATTAATGTACCCCAAAAATGTTGGTCGAACTCGCTTGAAATGCCTTTGACATTTATTTCATTAATTTGAACCAAATTTGCATGAATAAAACACATTCCTGATACAATTGAACAGAAGTTGTCGAACATGTCTCTCTGTTTATGTGGGGGAAAATCTTTTACTGTTTATGTTAGTATATTCTCTCTCTTATAAAAATAACAACATAAAACTAGTGAAGGTGATTGTAAAAAATATATGTAGCGAGGCGAGGTAATTCCCTGAACAGAATTTGTTCACGGAATTCTCGGTCGTTAAATACATTTCACTTAAACTGTTTGCCTCCTATCATCTTTGTTTTATTTAAAGGAATGAGTCTAATTACGTCCCATTAACTTTGGTCTCAATAAAGTGTAGATTTGTTAGGTAGAGGCGAGGGAGTGGAGGTCCCAGTATTCATTATTCTCGTGTATAAATTGGATAGTTTCCTTTCAAAAGTGTCTGATGTCTATTATAGGATATATATCTTCAATTTGTGATATATAGTGAATAAATTATACACAAACCAGTAATTATACATCGTGGTTACGTTTCTACTTGTATAAATAATATTTTCCTTAATGTATCTGTCGAGGTTTTATGAGAAATATATCAAGTGATTTTTTTTTTGTATTGCCATCATGTGCGTCGTCTGAGGAAAATGTATATGTTTCTTCTTTTTTACCGATATATCTTGTGCTTTGGAACACGAGAACTTCATTCTAAAGTTTTTTTATTCTTGGATTTTAACAAAAGTCTCGATATTTATTTTCTTTTTCTTTAAGGGAGTTACTTGATCGTTTTTTTATTACAGTAATTTACTTTTTATTTTATTATTTTTTTACAAGTTCCCACGCTGATATTTTTACAGGAATATCAGGTGGTTCATTTTACATTGGCTCTTAGATTTTTTTTTTACAATATCTTACATGACTTTCACGTGGGTGTATTAACAAGTGTCTTATATTCTCTCCTCCTCCTCTCACCCTGACAGTGGATGTGTTGAACGTGGAGATGGACGAGGTAGGAGTGTTGTCTGCCGGGGTTCAGGCTGAGGTGAAGTGCACAGTATGGGGATCCAGTCCACCGCCCATCGTTACCTGGACACTGGCTGGCTCCGAGCTCGCCTCCGCCAAACCCTGGGTCAGTTACTCACTTTCACCTGTTTCATCCTGTGAACTTAGTAAAAGGTCAAATGAACCCCAGTCCAAATATGCTCAAACATAACATAATCCAAATAATCGGATTGGTGTCCATTTGGCCTGAAACCAATTAGGACAGGGGACATTAATCAGACATTTCTATAAGAGACTACTTTATATGTTTGAATAAATGCTCTTTCTTTATCCTTACCTTTTATAATTGAAAATGTCCCCATCCTTCAACTGACAGATCTTTCACCGCTTATAAGGAATTACAAAGTCTCGAGTTTCTTTCCTTAATTTTCTCCCACAAGGCCCCTTACATTTCCCTTGCTTGCCTCTCTCTCTTATACAATTCCTGACTTACCTTCAACATCCAAAACTTTCCTGTTTTCCGCTTATACTCTACAGGGTTCTCTCCTCCATCAAGTCACAACTCCAACTTCCTCTTTCATTATACAGGATTCCCTCTCTCGTCAACATCATACTTTGCTAAAATTTACGACAAAATACAAAAATCTCAATACAGTACAATAAAGTATCATCCCTTCCTCACTTTACATTATCAGCCGAAAATATTGCCTCATCTATCAACATAAGAAATTCTTTTTACTCTCAGATTGGATTTTATGTCAATCCCTTATCTTCATTTTCCTCTGCATTCTTTCCTCATAATTTCACCGCTTCTCACTCACTATTCTGATACGTCCAGCGCCCCTTTAGAATCTCTCACTACCAGCACAATTCCTGGACTCCTCTAGCTATTCATATCACCAAAACTATTACAATTTTCACGTCCAAATGTCATTGACTCCATTCCCTCTTCTTCTCCTACCCCTAAAATATATTGATGATCCTTGATACTCCTCTCTCCCTCTTCTTCCTCATTTCTTTTCTATTTCCTCTCTCCCTATCATACGTTCCCTATCGCACTCTTAATTTAATTATCTATGCTTAATTCCCCCCCGCATCATTGTGTATCCAGCCAAACGTAACACAATGATCGCGTTTGATGTTTGTCACCGACCTAATGAGCTTTTTGCTATTAATAACACTGGCTTATGTATATCGGCTTCTGAATAATTAAAAATTTGTATTACCTTATGATAATTATAATCACACGCTGCAAGGTGGTGTAAATTTATTGTCAAATTTGATGACCATTTATTAATTAGTTTCATTTTTTCATATTTATGTTAAATATAACTATAAACCTCATCTTATATAATTGATACTTGATATAAAGGTATAATCAATTTATATAATCAATAGCATAAACTTATAGCATTTTTAATTGTTTCTCGAAATACCATTATTTATGAGTTTGTCCTACACTATTTTAACATTGGCCGCAAAATACGAAGTTTACATTATTCAATAGTTATTCACTAAATATAATCCAATACATTCTCATGAACATTTTTTTTTTATATAATAAGTACTTTCATTCTTAACTTTGGCCTCATAACTCCAATCAAATAACACTATATCAACTTTCTTTTATTAGTGGATGAAATATATAAGGACAAAAAACTAAAGTATATAAACATATAATCATAAAACTCCGACACTATGACACAACTCAGTCATGTTCACTTTCACGCCACACAAAGACGCCTCTCAGTCTCTCGGTGAAGTACGTGTAAGAGTGGAGATGATCGACCCACCACATTGTACACATAATGCCACCAGGGTCACCACCGTGTCTCAACCTCTCGTATCAAATATCAACTGAATATAATCAATCACGCTGCCTATTGAGACTTAGACTATGGAAACAACATGAAAACCAGCTCAATTTTACAAATCATCCGTCACATCGTTACCTAGTCCCAAAAATAATAAATGATAAGTCTCTTTGGTTATTCCCCAAGCCACTATGAACCCGCTGGCTCTTCTAATTCATAACCTTGAAGTGATTATTAACGTGTTGTTCTTGATAGTTGTAAAATTATTTATGTCTATTGTCAAGTTCTTTTAGCTAAGATCATAAGTCACTTGTCAGTCATGTTACCTCCTAGATGGCGCCCTTTTACGTTCACTATCACGTTCATTGCCACGTTCATTATCCCATTCACTATCACGTTCACTTCGTTTATTGAAATCCCAAGATACAAATTAAATATGCGATGTATTTCTAGATATACTGTTAAAAATGGAGTTTCTTAGATCTTGTGTGTGTGTGTGTGTGTGTGTGTGTGTGTGTGTGTGTGTGTGTGTGTGTGTGTCTTCTGTTTATAATAATATACCTAGAAATATATTGATTATCGTATTATTCATGAAATACAGTACAAACTTTACGGACAGCCTTGTCGAAAGCCTTCACACATAAACCAAGAAGGAACGAACCAGGAAGGGTATTGGCACCTACAGCAGTATACCTCTCCTCCGGCTCCATTTACCCCAACAAAAGAAAAAAAAAAACGAGACGACGAGAAGAAACCGTATATCTAAAATGAATTCCTTCCCCAACGCAGGCATGAGCTCTCCTACCTCACAAACCCGTAACTTCATATCAGAATGTGGAGTCTCTATTTTGTGTCTTTGTGTGGCGTAAGTTTATGGTAAGGAGAGCGAGGCAGTGTTTTCATTCTAAACTTCTCAAAAATCTTACTGTAAAGGAATAATGTCGTCTCCGGTTACCTGGTCAAGTATTTGCTCTCGTAATACCTTCGTGTCCTTTCTCACTCAGGTGAACGTGCCGTGAATGTGATCCTCGTGAATATTATTGGAGTATCTTCGCCAAAAAGACCTCAGCCATTTATAGCCTTTAGGAACACTCAACCTCAAGACTCTATGTTGTATGACTCTCTCTCTCTCTCTCTCTCTCTCTCTTTCTCTCTCAATACACACAGTAATATATATCTTAATGTCTCCTCACGCACAGGTGTCAGACGATGGCAACAGGAGCGTGTCAATGGTGAGCTTCACGCCTCAGCCTCGCCACGACGGTACCCAGTTGGAGTGCTCGGCCCACAACCCCGTCATCACAAGCACCCCGGCTCACCGCCACCCCAACCCCGACAACCACCACTCCAGCGTTCTCACCGTCAACTGTAAGTGTTATTCAAGGGCCTTTCTCAACTGCTAGGGCGAGTGTGATCCTGGAGTGAATATTGCGGACAGTGTCGCTTATCTACCTTCTTATCACCCAAGTCAAGGGTATCGATTTAAGTCTTTTTGTGAGCAACGTCATTTATCATGTTTCAGCGTAAAGGAATTATTTTGGACGTTTAATATCCTCGTCCCCAAATGGCAGTGAGGAGGTGATGTGATTGATTTTCTTTGTGTGTGGGAGGGGGTGTACGAAAATGTGTGACTTCGTGTACAGTAAGTGTGCGAATGTAAGAATTTGTGATTGTATGCTTGTGTATGTGCGTTTATGAATATATATATGGATTGTATATGTATCTCATGAAAATATGTAACACCATATATCATAACACTGACATGTGACTGTAAATAAACCAGTGTTAAAGATGACAGTAATTAAGGGTCAAAATATACAATACTCTTATGTATTCTTTATCCAACAGTCGAATTTAGTGCCATAAATATGTATGTATGCATATGTATGCTTGTAAGCGTGTTAATATGCGTATATGTATGTGTATATATGTGAAACTGTTAATTTTATGAATAAAACTCAGTTAATGTAATCAGTTTTCACCGTGGCTTGACGCAGCTATTGGCTCTGGTCTAGTAGACGGTCTCATTATTGCTCCACCAAAAGTCAGGGTCTCGTTAAACATAATGTATCATGACACGTACCGGTCACACACACACACACACACACACACACACACACACACACACACACACACACACACACACACACACACACACACACACACATTTGTTATGTTTATATATACTTGTAGCTGGAATTAACAAAATGAACAAAATAAGTTTAAAGATGACGTCAACATCACCTGGTGCTAACTCGCTAGCTATTGGCTGACACCTTCAACCTACTGAGTTAAAATCGGTCCATCTCAACAGAAGCAACATGTGGGTAAAATAATCCAACACATCAGACTTCACTATCATTCTGTGTGTGCGTGTACAGGTGTGTCCGTAATTGAAAATGGTAACTTTGCAAGTGATATTCGATATACTATGTCGTGCGTTCTGACAGGTGAGAGCGCGCCTTTTAGATTCAATATGTCGGACTCGCATATTTCACACCACACGCAAATTGAACTCGCTCAAAGTTAGATTAGGTTCGTTTTTAGTTTGTGTTTTAATATCACATCACGTCTTCAATTTTTTAGGCTCCAACATTTTTCAATATTTTGTACTGTACTCTAAGTAAATTTTACGATTCGGATTTTTTTGTACCACACCAGCACCAAGTTGACTCGCAGGCAAGTTAACAAGATCCGGCACCAATTGGAGTGAATAAATAACAACCCCCAGTTGGGATGAATTAACAATAGCTGGCAACAACTGCGTGGATTGACAGACAAATTATCAACAGCCATCAGTAGCTATGTTGGCTCACAGACGTGTTCTACAGCCGGCACCAGCTGAGTTAACACACAGTCCGGTCAACAACAACAACTGGCTCACTTTATCTAATGGGTCACACAGCGTAACATATAGGTCACAATTTTGGCTTAATTATGTATGCACCTGGTCAATTACCTGCCGGACAATTATGAAGGGTTAATGCATCCTATGTTGAGTGATATAGCGCAAATTATCAAGGAATATTGGTCATTATCGTAACATTATTGCCAGTTGTCGTGCATTATCGAACACTGGCGCCGTGCAGAGGCATAAGCTGAGCCCTGATAACACTGTATATCCGTGCTTTATCGTTCCGTCTCGTTTGTTGTAGCTGATTACTGTAATCTTTCGTACTCTGTATTGATAATTCATGATCATGCATTCTCCTCTGGTTCAGGTGATTATTTCTGCCTTGTGTTTACGCCTTTGACAAACTCCAGTGTATGTCACTTGTGGTGTTTTTACCTTCGTGTTTTAATCATATTTAGGAGTTCAATACTTTAATACTTTACTCAAGTAATTTTTGGGGCGGATTTGAGTACTTCCAATACTTTTTTTTTACTTATAATGTTACTTGAGTAATTCTTCGGCTTAAGTAATACACTTTTATTTCTCATTACATTTTGGAAGTACCCGCCATGGGCTGAATTTACCTAAACCAATCAAAACATAGAGAAGATATACGTGATACTTTCCCAGCCAATCACATAACGCAACACTTTCCCACCAATTTACGCCCCATCCCTGGTATCTTGTCATTCATTTTAACTATGTTGGTGACGCTGTATTGATGTATGACAATTGTAAAACCAAAGTGAAGAATTATCGTCAGTAAAATCAGTAAATCCTTATCGTCGGTATGTGTGACCTTTGACCCAGCCATCACAGGTCAACAATGAGACGTACACGATTATGACCTCACCCTGGATATTAACAGGTCACGATCGGGTTGACTTGTGTAAGACGATTTGAACACAGTTGGGTCGATGGGGGTCTCTCTCTCTCTCTCTCTCTCACTTAACTACTCCCCCTCTAATTATAGGCTGTGTCGCTTGTTACCTCACTGACCGTAACTAAGAGGCTTAACATAGTAACCCATCTACATTATCTTCACCTGACTAATCGACCACTAATCCTGGTTCACTGATAACAACCGGGGGCCCGTTAACAGTAACCAGGACCATGGACTTTGAAATGTTAATGAATTATATAATCTAAAATAATATAATTTAAGTAAGTTAGTGAATAAATGGTGTTGTGGTCGCCAAGTCAGGTATTACCAGGTAAATGTGCATAATTAGTTTAATATTAGGGTTGGGTTTTCACCATGATATATAAATATTATTTGAGGAGAATTACTTTTTTACTTTCAATGTCTACCCCCTTGTGTATGGTGGCGCCTCTGAGGTGAATAAAATCGTCTGGCGTTAACCATATAAAATATTAATAGCGTCTCTGTAATGAAGGGGTTAAGTACTTTTAAAATCAGTTACTTTTTTTACATCTACTTAAGTCTCCAGTGAGGCTATTATTTTTTTTTACTTTTATTTGAGTATCTTTTCCCCAGTAACTGTGCTTCTACTTAAGCTGCGTAAAATTCTCTCCTGAAACTTCATTTGTGTCGTTGTGTGAACACCTGGAGTGAGTCATGTTCTTACGGTGAAAATTAATACCTGGTTAGCATAATTTTTGTCATTGCTTTCAATAAACAACATCATGGTTGAGTATCATTCTTCACGAACAATTAAAGATAAAAACCACATCAAAATCCTTAAGATACAATTTTTTGGAGTAATAATCATAAATGAAAATCAGGAAATATCATAACATCAGCGGCAAGACATCATTAAAACCGTGAATTGAATACGTAACGTGGAACAAAGGAACTGTCAAAATCTTAATGAAGATCAAATCAAAGTCTCCGGAAACACTCATCGATAAAAGATAATACCCGGGAAGAGAGATACGTGGCTCATTAAGATAAAATTGATGATATAGACGATATTTTGACGTGAAAATACTGCATGTGAAAACAAAAATACCTAGGTAATTACACGTTACACCACACTCTTATATTTAGAGCTGCAGGGTGAGTTATTATTATGTCAGGGTTATACAGGTCCTCTTGTCTGTTAATGGGAGCTGCCAGGAAAGTTTTCATATAGATCATTGTATATGTTAACAGCTGTAGTTGTCGACTGTAACAAAGGAACGGTTTTCATATAACTTTTTTTGTGTCTATTAAGAAGTGATGTCAAGAAATTTAAGGTGTAAGATTGGTTTAGGATGTTAACAGAACCTGAAGTGTGTAAAAAATGGGGGAAGAGGTTTCATTTTATATTTTCCATTCTGTAAATAGTTGCTGAAGTGTGTGGAAAAGGGAACATCTCTCACACATATGATCGTTTCTGTTAACAGTAGCAGAAGTGTTAAAAAAAAGAATAGCTCTCGTACATTTCTTCGTATTGTCGTGTGTAAAAAAAGACGGTTTTCATCAGCCAGATATTGTAGATGTTAACAGTGAACACGTCCGTGTGTTAAAATGGCTCGGGGGAGTTATAATACATTGGTGCCCTGTATTCATTCTAGTGGAACTGTCATGCAGAATTGTACACTGCCCACATACCGTCACGCACATGTACATAAAGACCAGTATGCACACACATATGTATGTACAAATATATTTACAATCATTTAAATGCACGTACTTTCACGCACTCTTACCCCGCATTTACACACGCACACAATAGCACTCACATCACCCCCCCCCCCTCACACACACCTCCCTCTCTCCCTAAGGAAACACTGTATTCTTCATCACCTGCTGTTCGTTGCACTAAATATATAACATGAAACACCGTCAATTAACACGCTTATCAGTAATTACATTCGTGGCCATTGTATGAGGGAGTCAGGTCAGTACATTCAGCACAGTCGTAGATTCACTCCTACAAACGAGCTCACAAGATTATGGTGAGGGTTTGTTGTTGTTTGTATCTAGCTGACCACGTGTATCAGTGACGTAAGATTGAAGAGAATTACAACCTTTTGTTCTTGGTATATATATTCGTCATAACAACAACCTTTAAGAAAAGATGCTGATGTTTGTCTTGGAGTGAATATTATCTCATAAAATAACCACAAACAGACTTAAATTGCACCTCTCTCTCCAATAGATTTAACGTTACCATATGTCCTGCCGAATGAAATCATGGATTGTTGTGAGCGTATTTTCGGTCTTCATAACTTGGGGTGAGTCACACAGAGTCTCATACTGGGCATTTTGTGAGTTTTTTTAACCCGGTAATACTAAGCTGCGTGTTTTGGTGCTGACTGTACTTTCCCTTTGGTTGTTAGTGAGTGTAATTATTTGTGTGTATGTGTGCGTGAGAATATATGTGTGTGTGTGCTTGTATCTGTCCAAACAAAGCGTCTAAAAGCACACACACACACACACACACTATCACTAATATTTACTATTTCCACACGTGTAGGAAAGAAATTAATAGACAATGAATTCAAGAGAGAAAGACGCAATTAGGTA